AAACATTTATTTGGAAAGAACAGCGGGTTGAGCATTTTCTGGTACTGCCCCTCACTCATTCCCTCTGCTATGATTCCTATATCAGGACAGCGTGATAGTTGTCATAACTATATATTTTTCTCAGTCGTTCACTCCTGGCGGAGTGATCGTGGTTACGTGAGTCTTAATGTTTGGTTGCGGCTTTTAAGAGATTTCTCTATCTTTCTCTATTTGTGGCGGTACGTGTACACTCAGTAAGGGAACACTTCGTAGATAACTTAACCAAGTCTGTCCACCTTGTGGATGATCGGCCGCGAGAGCGTTGACCGTCTACTCTTCCTTGAACCACTAAACGTTCCAATGACCTTTCATTACGAATGATATGTCCAAACATATTAAGGCTTATTATTATTATATAAACATATTAACTATGTATACATAACTATATATAAACGAAAATACTCTGTATACCCTGTACTCTGTAACTGCGGGTAGGTTCGGGATAACGGAAAGCTACTTTGCCTTGTATATAATAAGAGAAGTACCTACAAGGGTAGGAAACATAATTTCACTGCAGTTGAAGCATGCTAAGCAGCTAATGTCTCAAGTGTATTTCACTAATTTCAGCTAATGATATTACGTCATCATCATTTATGGACATCAATACCTGAGGCACATCCGGCTTGTAGCTTACCCTTAAGGTGTACTGGTGGTAGGACCTCTTGTGAATCCGCGCGGGTAGGTACCACCACTATGCCTATTTCTGCCGTGAAACAGTAATGCGTTTCGGTTTGAAGGATGGGGCAGCCTTTGTAACTATACTTGAGACCTTAGAACTTATTTCAAGGTGGGTGGGTACGTTGTAGATGTCTATGGGCTTCAGTAACCATTAACACCAGGTGGGCCGTGAGCTCGTCCACTCATTTAAGCAACAAAAAAAGGCGTCCTTTTAAACGTCGCGTTAAGGACAAATGCGCTGGGGAAAATTATTAAACCAGCGAACGTATTATATAACACGTAATTTTAATTACAAGAAAGTATCTTAATTACATAGTACTGAAATTTCTCATTCATTCACTTTATATGTTAAAATATAAATTAGGAAAGTTACGTAAATCAAAAGATAAACAACTTTAAGCAAAAAACTTTTCCGTGTATCGAAATGACATTTCAGAACGAATAATTTTCAAAGCATCTTGAAATCGTCATTGATGTGAAAACTTTGTTGAGACGTTTCTGTTACAAATTTTTTTTGCTAGCATAATCTATCTTTAAGCTATCTGTACTAACTTTTGTCTGTGTGTTGTCGATCTAAAATAACACCGTTTAATTCTCCAATTGAGTGTTCTAAAAAGCTTGTGAGTGATTCGCTGGAGAATGCGCAGCAGTGTCATTTGAGTATTATGCGTACTGCGATTGCTATTTAACATTTTGAACAAACTCACGACCGACCTAGTGTCTTAAGTCGGGCGGAGCCCATATATATCAAAGCATCAGTGCAATCCCACTCACTTAGGTCAATATGTTCAATAACATGACTGTTTGTGTTGTAATATCTCGATCGGCGCGTGCTTCTTGTGGAAGCTCATTATTAAAGATAAATAACCTATGTCTTATACACATTTTCTACATCATATAATACTGTAGGTGCATTTGATATTTTTTTATGTATATAAATTTGATAGATTGACTGAATCATATCAAACAATTTATCAACATAATTGAAATGAGCAGATTCACATTTATAACAGTTGAATTTATAAAACGCTCGATGGCCGAATGGGCGATTGATATAATCAATTTTGGCTAATGAAATAGAAAACATATTAAAGTTAATCTCGCACTCTATTTGAAGGGTGGGACAGCCGTTGTAACTATACTTGAGACCTTAGAACTTATATCTCAAGGTGGGTGGCGCATTTACGTCATAGATGTCTATGGGCTCCAGTAACCACTTAACACCAGGTGGGCTGTGAGCTCGTCCACTCACCTAAGCAATAAAAAAAAAAACGCTACGGAACATTTAATATGTGAATTATACTTTGATCACCATACAACGTGCTAAAAGTAATGTAATTATATACTGTAACAACGGCCAAAATCTCATTTCCGCGAAACGATAATACCTGTGTTGATTGAAACACAGCAAGCGGTGGCTCAAAACTTTAATTAAAACTATTCCTAATCGAATGGCATTTCACATAGACATAGTTGTAGAACTTTATCAGTAACGACTGACAACGCCACGATACATTGACGATAATTTGGGGAAAATCACAATGCCAAACGTACAAAGATTACACACATCATAGTGCAACTATAAATTGCCACAATTTTTTCTGTTAACCTAAGATAAATACACAAATGTAAATAATATTGTAATACTAGTATTTTCTTATTGGTCAGCTAAAATCAATATTACTGACACAATGAAAAAAAAATAGATGTATGTATTATATTTTCCTTAATGTTTTGTAATTGACATTATTTCTCCGTGGTATGTGAGGAATGTAGATCTTCAGGACGAACTAAACTTAGTACCGATACGTAAGTATCTTAAGGAAGCGTCAGAACGTTACTTCGACAAAGCGAGGCGATATGAAAACGATCTTATCATGGCCGCTGCTAATTACTTATCCGATCGCGACCGGCAACGCAAAGCCACCGTTACCTGAAACATGTCTTATCGGATCCCCAGGATTCACTCTCAGTGCTTTTGGACACCTCAGCACCGGTCACCGTTCTCGTCGAGCTCGTCGTAATCGACGAACTAACCCATAGACATGGCCCACTGAGTTTCTTGTCGGATTTTCTCAGTGGATCGCGATTCCAAACCGGTGGTAGATTGTGCGAAGCACTGCTCTTGGTAGGGCTAGTGTTAGCAAATTCTCTTAAGTTAAGTTCGTGAGCTCGTGAGCTCAACCACCCGTCCGGGCGTAGCTGAAATAGCCTCTTAGGCCACCAGCATAATAGAATTATGAGTTTTCAAAAGCTGTAGGTACTTAGAAATTTATTTTTCGTCGAACTTGATTGCGCAGAAATAAGCAGGATCGATCGCAAACCCTGCTGCCAAGGCTCACAAATACGCCGTGCCAATGCAATACAACAGAAGTTGATTCCATAAAATACGAAAAAGTCAAGAAAGATATTTAAGAGAATTCCCTTCACGAAATGGAATGCTAACACGCTAAAGCTTCCGGCGATGTTGTCGAGCTGCTAATGAAATACGTCTCAACATTGATGTCTGTACATCGCAAAACATATTGGGACCCTAAAACAATAATGTCTTGTTTGATTGACATTTTTCCTGTTAGAAAAATCCGTCATATCGTTTTAGTTACTTATTTTCAATAAACAACTTTTGGAGTTTTTTGTAACGAATTTTATTGAGATCTAATAATACGTTTTCAACATGTACTTTTACGGTCTTTACATAATACATATTATAATAATATGTAGAATGCAATAATATATTAAGCGTCTGTCAATCTAATCTAATGTAATACTTACTCTCTTGAGAATAATTGACGTTAGTCCCAAAGCCTATCGAAATACTGTCAGCTAAAGTCAATTAGACTACAGACAAACGTTATTGTTACGAAAAAAAAAAATATTTTGTTTGTTATTGAGGCCCTTTTTTGATTGACTGTAGCTTCCACAACGTAAATGCGCCACCCACCTTGAGATATACGTTCTAAGGTCTCAAGTATAGTTACAACGGCTGCCCTATCCTTCAAACTGAAACGCATTACTGCTTCACGACAGAAATAGGCATACCCACCTGTGCGGACTCACAAGAGGTCCTACCACCAGTAATTACGCAAATTATAACTTTTTTGCGGGTTTCATTAATTGGAATGTTAATGTAAAAGTCGGTATACGAAAGTATCTGAGAATACATTTTAAACAGGTAATATGTATTTTTTACCACAAATACACCTACATATATTTACTAATGGTATATATTACAATTTGTGTTCTGACTATTAATAATGAGTAATTTTCCAATAATTTGTACAAAATACGTCGATTCAAAATTCTGAAAAATACAGAGTTTGTTAGACAATTTGCTTACCTATTTACAAGGTCTATATGGGAATGCCAATTTTATTTATTGCTTCGGATAATCTAATGAAAACAAATTCGGCGGGTCCAAATTAGAACAGAATTTCTCACCAAAATAGGATTCATTACGCGTGCCTACAGTCTTTGAATATTAATCACATCGAATTATTTAGACCGTCAGGAAAATTGTAATTGTATTTGTGAAGCATAAAATATTAGATAATAGCAAATACTTCAATAGGGAACGTGTTCACTATTGCCCGCAATTCATCATCTGTTCTTAAGTGTCACTCCGGAAGGGTAGCTAATGGTTGTGTGAAACCAAGCTTTACCTGCGTCATAAGTAAAATCCGACAGTAAATCAAGCAACGAGTTGTTGCCATCAAAACTGGTAAAATTATTAAAGTATTAGTTTATATTAAATTATGGTTGGTTTCAACGATTTTCGTATTGACAGATATGAAAACTATATCATTATACTAAGAGTCATCGAGGTAATAGTATAATTTGATTAAGTATGAAGAATTTCTTTTACACTTACATTAGTTGATAATTTTAATGAAAGTCCATAGACGGAAACACACGCTTAGTAATAAACAGAACTAATAAAAACCTTATAAAAACCAAGTGATCTAGAAAACACTAATATTATCACCTTCTTTTACTTAATTAATTTAAGTTTGTTAGGTGCCAGTAAATCATTTTTCAATAACTTCAAGAATTAAAACGGGTTTTTTTCCTTGCTTGAAAAGCACTTTTATTTGTCAACGAAACAATAATTAAGAGACAATTTCTTTAAATGATATCTAAAGTTGTCGTAAAAGTTGTAATATTAATATAAATTTAAAGCAATATTTTTCAAAACTCTCTTAAAAAAAATATCTTACGGATCACCTAAATTAATATACTTACTGAATATAAATTTCGAAAAAAGAACATCGACACGGTTAATTTACCTGAATATTTTTAGGAAACTGCACGATTACGCACTTCCATAGTGTTTGAGGAGGAGCCGGCGGTCGGTTTGTTCACGCGAGCCGGCGACACGAGACTGACGACTGCCCGCCCGCCCAACGCCGCCCTACCGCACTGATTCACGAACACCGATGCGAGTGTGCCTTGCACTGCATGCCGTAAATTACTGTTCCCTTTTAAAGTAATTGGTTCAGAAAACGGTTTTAATGTTTAGTTTGTTATTGCGTGTTTTTTAAAAAGGTTTTCTGTACGTTTTATGGTAAATGTTGCATACTTTTTTTTTTTGCTTAGATTGTGGGACGAGCTCACAGCTAACCTGGTATTTTTTTTTATTTTTTTTTATTGCCCTTGTAGGCAGACGAGCACACGGCCCACCTGATGGTGAGTGGTTACCGTCGCCCATGGACTTCAGCAATGCCAGGGGCAGAGCCAAGCCGCTGCCTACCGCTTAATACTCTCCACAAGCCTCGTTTGAAGAAGGACATGTCATAGCGCTCGGGAAACACCGTGGAGGGGAGCTCATTCCATAGCCGGATGGTACGTGGCAAAAAAGATCTCTGGAAACGCACTGTGGATGACCGCAGTGGCTCCAGGTAGTATGGATGAACTCTACTCCGGTGGCGGGCGGTGCGATGGTAAAAACGAGATGCCGGTATCATCTCGAACAATTCCTCAGAGCACTCCCCATGGAACATACGGTACAAAATACAGAGGGAACCGAAGTCCCTCCGCAGACCCAGAGGCTCCAAACGATCCGTGAGAATGGGATTATCGACAATCCGAACGGCCCTCCTCTGTATGGAGTCAAATGGAAGAAGCTGGTATTTGGGAGCCCCGGCCCAGAGATGGGAGCAGTACTCCACGCGAGGCCGGACTTGTGCTTTATAAAGCAAAAGTCTTTGTCCAGGCGTGAAATACCGCTTCGCTCTGTTGAGGACTCCCAGCATTTTGGACGCCAACTTGGCTTTGCCTTCCAAATGACTCCGAAACTGGACATCGCTCGAAATGTCGACCCCAAGTATCCAAGGTATTAAGTGGTTACTGCAGCCCATAGGCATCTACAACGTAAATGCGCCACCCACCTTGAGATATAAGTTCTAAGGTCTCGGTATAGTTACAACGGCTGCCCCACCCTTCAAACCAAAACACATTACTGCTTCACGGCAGATATAGGCGGTGTGGTGGTACCTACTCGTGCGGACTCAAAATAACCTACTATCAGTAAATTAATTTATAATATAATGTTATGTTATATAAATATTTAGTATTAATAATAGTTGTGTATTTTATTCGGATGCTTTTTAAATATCCATAGTTATAATATTGATGCACTTCCTCAGTTGCAGCAGACAACATTTTGGCTGTTCCATTCACATTGCAATTATAATTGTAACTATACTGAGACCTATTTACGTTGTAGATATCTATGGGCTCCGGTAACCACTTAACACAAGGTGGGCTGTGTGCTCGTTCACCCAACTAAGCAATAAAAAAAAAATCTGCTATTTTTGAACGATTGCTACCACTTACTACAGGCAGGCCACAATTCTGCCACAATCGAGTTAGTAAAATAAGTAAATTTGAGACATGACGAAACGACATCACATTTGTATGATGACTATTCGATGAATGGTAGTGCTTTGATATCTTTGCTTAATCACAATACACGTTATTTTCAGCAATTACATAATTGTCATTGATTGAATATATATTTTAAAATATTATTGCACAAAAGAATTCTTCATTGTGTAATTAATTCATTCATGAAAAAATAACAATTCAGTCTTCATTTTCGTTGACCGTTCTAAAATGTTATGAACACAAACATGCTAGAAATTTATTTTAAGCTTACCGTACAAAAACACAGATAAATCTAGCTAGTTCCAAGTAAAACTTCTAGAGCATTCAACACGTTTGTATAACTGTTGAAGTTAATTAAAGTCGATGTCATCTAAGCGTTCCTGATGCTTTCAATTTTGCCCTCGAAAACCGATAATGCTCGTAGGCGGTTTTCTAGTATGCACTGAAGATTGTTTGGTTAGTTTGAAATGGATTGTAATTAAGTTACCCGCTAATCCGATTTAAATATTTACGTAAGCTTAAATTTGGGAGTTTTATAACAAAATTCCTGCTGCTTGTATTCCAGTTTCTACTGGATTCTAATTGTAACTATACTGAGACCTTAGAACTTATATCTCAAGGTTGGTGGCGCATTTACGTTGTAGATGTCTATGGGCTTCGGTAACCTCTTAATACCAGGTGGGCTGTGAGTTCGTCCACCAATCTAAGCAATAAAAAAAACCATCACGAAACTAGTTCCAAACTGTTAAGCTGTTGTCTTATGATGCTGATAAAGATATTATGTTTAACTTCAANTAACTATACTGAGACCTTAGAACTTATATCTCAAGGTTGGTGGCGCATTTACGTTGTAGATGTCTATGGGCTTCGGTAACCTCTTAATACCAGGTGGGCTGTGAGTTCGTCCACCAATCTAAGCAATAAAAAAAACCATCACGAAACTAGTTCCAAACTGTTAAGCTGTTGTCTTATGATGCTGATAAAGATATTATGTTTAACTTCAAATCTATACAATTGTTAGAGTTAGGTTTCTGTAGGTTTTTAAATTTTGTTGTAATAATTCAAGCTTATAAAAACGTCTCTAGGGTAATGAGAACTGAAACTACACTTTTAAAATGTAACTAAAATTCGAAATATTGGAAATGAAATGGCAGTTATTCTTTAAATATAGTACATATTTATATTTATAGACTTTGGAACTGAAATAGCCCGAAGGCAGACTAAATTCAGTACCGATTGCTTAGGTGGGAAGGAAAAATAGACAGGGGAAACGTGTTTCATTTACTGCAGTAATTTCATTTTATAAATTTCTGAAAATCGTAATACTTCCTATCTGTTCCGCCTTGATTAGATGCTGCTAAGAGACATTTTAATTTTTAAATCAGTTATTTAAATAGCCTATTTGAAAACCTAGTCATATAATAATAATGTAATATTGTAGCTATTTATTTCAAATTATTTCTTTACTATTAAGACCTGACGAAATATACATATGTATAGAATTATTTATTACAGTTTTTTATTTTTAATGAATTTGGTAGAGTCGCAGTTTTTATTACACAAATTAGATTATACAAAAGAAATGGAACATACTAATTTGTTAATTCATTTATAAAGGACAATGGAATTTTGTAAATATATAAGTTATAAAAACCGATGGTTAATATTATGTAATATTCTCAGGTTATTTAATAATTTCATTCCATTAATCACTTAAAGCGTAACTCCTACGCGTATATTTGGGTGGGTTGATACCGCGTGGGCGTTGGAATATCATTACCTACATTTTATTTCAATGTATTGTTTCATTATTCATGGAAAATTCGAGATGATATATGAATAATATATATATATTTTAAATTAAATTGAAAATGACATTTTGTTAGTCTATTTGTAGTGTTCTTTTATATTTTGTTTGACGGTTGGGTATATTCAGTATCCGTACCTATGGGTAGTTGCCACCGTATTACGAATTTAAGTTCATACGACTGTCATGCATCCTTGTTTGTAAGTCTCTCCACCACGCTGCTTTTTTCCTGGGATATTCCAGCTACGCCCGGACGGGTAGCTGAGTTCACGGGCTTAATCTGAGAGAATTTACTAAGACTAGCTCTAGCCTCAGCTAGTGTAGTGCTTCGCAGAATCTACCACCGGATAGGTATCGCGACCCACGGAGAAGAATCGGCGAGAAACTCAGTGGGCTGTGCCTATGGGACGGTCGGTGCAACAACCATACATAGTAAATACACTTAAGGTCGGCGCGCTGTCCAAAGTCCGCTTAGAGTCCAAGAGTCCAAAGCCCATTGCCAACTCAGGTCAGGATAATCATCCGTAGCCCGCTTACATGTTTGGAGGGCGCGTTTAGAGCAGCTTGCTTTCTTGGATCTCTTTCGCCGGTCCCCAGACTGATATCTCGAGGGTATCCGAAAGAGTTAGGTTTAATCGCCTCTACGACTCGCAGGCCGGCTAAGAGATCTATCAACTGCCTGGATACCATTTATATAATAATACAAATAAATCACGGAGTATTATTTGGGCTATATTCGTGATTATATGTACAATTTCGTAGACCTCAATACATTGTACTACATACAATTTTTAAGAGACAAATAGAGCTTAACACGTTCTCTGAAGGAAGTCAAAAAGCCTGTTGTAATTTGTAAATAAGTGCCGCGAGCATTTAATTAAATGAAATGAGTACGAGGATATCTTTGTGTCTGAATGATATTTTAGCGCAGAACAAAAGAGAAAACGCAGTGAAATTCTTTAGAGTCATCTTGTTTAATTAATTACTCTCATATTAAAGTCACGAGATATGTCTCGTATTGTTTTAAAAGTGACAAGGATGGCCTTTCTTGTTTTGTGTCACACAAGTTATATTATTAATATGTTTAAATGAATTTTACATTAGTTTAAAACTTAATATTTCGTACATCCTCTTTTGTAGAATGTTCATAAAACGTATTACGTAATACTATGTTTTTATTTATTGCATAGATAGGTGGACGAGCTCAAAGCCCACCTNATGTCTCGTATTGTTTTAAAAGTGACAAGGATGGCCTTTCTTGTTTTGTGTCACACAAGTTATATTATTAATATGTTTAAATGAATTTTACATTAGTTTAAAACTTAATATTTCGTACATCCTCTTTTGTAGAATGTTCATAAAACGTATTACGTAATACTATGTTTTTATTTATTGCATAGATAGGTGGACGAGCTCAAAGCCCACCTGGTGTTAAGTGGTTACCGGAGCCTATAGATATTTACAACGTAAATGCCGCCACCCAACTTGACATGTGAGTTCTAATGTCTCAGTATAGTTACAACGGCTGCCCCATTCTTCAAACCGAAACGCATTACTGCTTCACGGCAGAAATAGGCAGAGTGGTGGTACCTACCGGTGTGGACTAACAAGAGGTCCTACCACCAGTAGTTACGCAAATTATAATTTTGCGGGTTTTGATTTTTATTACACGATGTCATTCCTTTACCTTGGAAGACAATCGAGAACATT